ACCTCTCAAGTCACCACTAGGGCTGCACAATTAATCGCATGCGATTGTCATGCACATCTTGTCAGTAAAGCCGGTTCTGTGATTAGTAGTAAATCTTTAGCATGTGCTCTACACAGAGCCGTAGTTCACTGACAAGCTACGCAAACAGCTTTTATGATCCCAGAACGATTTCTTCGATTATGAACACGACTTTGTGTAGCTTGTCAGAGAACTACGGCTCTGTGTAGTAAATGCTGCTCCATCTGAAAGCACATGAAAATACCACATTTAATTACATGTTTTTACTCCAAACTCACTTCATAACATCAGTCGAGTGTTTGAAATAAATCCTTCTGTGAGATGATGTGGCTTCTTACACAGAATAAGGCACGCAACATATTTCATAGTATTCTAAGCAGTGATAAAGGCTATGTCGATTAGCATTGCATTATTATATACTCTATTCTAATGAAAATTATAATAAGAAGAACTCAGATAAACCATATATTGTTGTAGTCGTGTGTTTATTAGTCAAGTTGAATTAATGAAAGCAGTTAAATCTTCTGTTTATTCAGCAACCGCTATAGGGATTTCTTGGGATTCTTCTGCGAGGTGTATTTGGAGTTTCCGCACGAGAGCGCCCTCTGGCCTTCGGATGGAGATTTACTACTGATCACAGAACCATGCTTCACTGAAAAATACGCATGACAATCACTGCTTCTGCCTAATTGCGATTTATTGCCTTTGCGATTTAATTTCGATTAATCGTGCAGCCCTAGTCACCACCTCTCTCGACTCCACCTTGGGTCTGCGTCCTGGATCTTATGATGCGGATTCCACAATGGCCCTGCCTGTCCCATGTTCCTGCTCAGCGTCCCCCACCTAATCCCCCTCCCATCCTCCTTTGTTGGACTTTGTGTAGTTTGTGGATGTTAAGGCGCGAGGGCACACCTTCTTAAGGGGGCGATAATGTTAGGGTTCATCTGTGTTTGGTTTCGTTTTGGATGGTTGGCGCATGTTTCTTCTGTGACCTAGTTTTCCGCTAGTTTCCTTGGTTACTCATTGTTTAATTTGCATACCTGTTGTTCATTTCTTTGATTCATTTAGTCTGTTTAAGTCCTGTGTTTATACTTATACTTAGGAATTCTTCTTTGGTTCATTTCTTCAGTTCAGTCTGTCAAGGTCAGACGCAAGTAAAAACATGAACACATTAGAGAGCTGCTTCATAGTCATAATTGATTGAAAACTGATTGAAAGCAACACTGAAAAAAAAATTTTACTGTCATGTTTAACACTGTAAAGCTGCTTGCTTTAAAGCAACCTATTGTAGAGAGTGCTATATAAATAAGCGTGACATGACTTTACTTGACAGAAGCGGTGAACTGCAGTGCTGCTGTAAACATTGTCGTGAGTATATCGGGGCCTAAAGTAATAAACTTTGGTTTGGGTACTCCATATTAAGTTTCTTATTACAGTTCTTTCAAATCTGTGTCACAGCAGACTTAACACAGTGACAGAACTCAGTCGACAGTGGAACAATCTGTTTTTAGTGGCAATGAGGAAATGCAAGACCTGGAATCAATGAAACATCTAAAGCCTAATCTACACAGGAACTTGAACGGGCTGGGGAAAACAATTGGTAGCCAATACCTAATTACAGTAAATCAGGTGTAAATGTGTGTGCGTGTTTTGAAAGTGAAAAAGGGGGTTCTTCAAATACATCTCTCTCTTTTTCCTGATTTTAAAAAGAAAAGAAATATTCTGAATCTTTCATACATTCTGCTTTGACAAAGGAGGCTTTTATCTTGGTCCCATTAGCATGTTTGGCACTGGAGCAATTTACATTTTTATAGCATAATTAATGAACAAGAAAGTCATTTACATTTTTCCTCTGTTCACTGCCATATTGTGTGGAGCATATTTTATTTCAGGGGCCAGTATTTGGGAATTTGGACGGTGTGTGCATGAAGGAATAGGAACGGTGAGGTGAGAGGATGAATAATCCGTTCTGCTTTAAAATCCAGAGCAGGGCAGACGTTCCTCTTTCAGGTGCAAATGGAAGGTAATGTGTACAACACATCAGTTGGCTCTCACTTCAAACGGGAGGTGGTATTCAAGCACTAATTAAGCCATTTAAACATTAAAGACAACTTTCATAATTCATACATGTTTAATACATGTATTCTTCAGAAAATCAATTTGCTATTATATTTATCATCTAGAAGGGACAAGATGTTGTACTATTCTTATAAATGTATCATATCATTCAAAAACAATTTTTTTAGTACCTGATGATTTTTTATGCCATTCATTTAACATATTGACCTTTTGTGACCCCTCCAATAAGGGTACGTTGTCATACTATATGTAACATTTCCAAATTAAATTCACCATAAAAAAAAAAACTGTAAAAAAAAATTATAAAATAAAACAAATCATGACACAAATGTAACATATAAAAAATAATTTGCGGAAAAATATTTCCTAGTAATTATTATACAGACATTCAGAATGTGTGACAACTTGCCCCTTGTCCTTTTCATTGTTCATATTCTGACAGTGTAGTTTTATCGTGTACTCTTCTTACCCAAAAGATATGACAAAAATAAGAGGATGTTGACATGCATTTTAAATAATAATGATAAATACTACAAATAATCAAGTGTTGGAAACCAAAGTGCAAACCACTGCTACACTTTTGGACTTCAGACCTTATAGTTACTGAAATATGGAACTTCCGCGTGTGACAACTTGCCCCAGTCTCTCCAATGTATAAAATACATCTTCTGTGTGTGTGTGTGTGTGTGTGAAATGGTCTTCATGAGCCCACATTATCACACTGTCTTATGAAGACGAGGACATCTCATCACGCTAGCAGCTGAAGCAGTGAGGTGAAGGAGCACAAGTCTGCTTCACAGACAGTCACTCACTGAAGTGAAGCGGTGGCGCGTGGTCACTTCGCTCTCCGTGCGCGCAGAGGCAGCAGCAGCACGTCCACGGAAGCGCACAGGACACACGCGGAACTGATGGAGCAGATAGACGACGGAGTGCTCAGCAACTGCAACGGAATAAAGAGCGAGTGCGAGACCACCATGAGCCTGGAGGAACCGCGCGCTCTGCCATGCTGAGCATCTCCCTCGCGCTCCTGCTGGCTCTGACCGCTCCCTTCCGCTGCGCACACAGCTGGAGCGACGAGGACCTCCTGCTGCCGCCCATCAACTCCTCCGGGAGACTCCTGGCCAGCCTGGAGGTGGATGTGGGCTACTCCAAGAGATCCGTGGAGGAGCCCGAAGCCTCCTCGCAGTGCAACGTGAGCGTGGAGAGGCTCCCCACCAAACTCGTGGCGCGCTGGGACAGCAACTTCGGCTTCCAGTGCGACGTGCTCATGTACACCACGAACAGCCACGGCAAGGCGTTCTTCTCCGCCGCCTTCAACCGGGCGATCTCGCCGGTCTACATCGAGCACCTTGGCGTCACGGGCGGCCAGCAGGAGTTCAGACTGTGCGTGGGATGCGGTCTGTCCCGGTACCGGAGATTCCGACGGGGCAGGACAGAGGGTCAGCAGACGGGCGACTCGGTGCACTTCTGCTGCGTGGATTTCGCTCTGGACGAGCTGAAGGGGGACCGGAGCTGGAGGCTCAACCGCAAGCCCATCGAATCCACTCTGGTGGCGTGTTTCATGACTTTAGTCATCATAATATGGAGCGTCGCTGCCCTCATATGGCCAGTTCCCATTATCGCGGGATTTCTGCCCAATGGAATGGAGCAGAGACGGCAGAGGTAATAGAACAGTACAGGATAGAATTCAGAATAGCATCTATAGCCTAATAAAGGAATCCTAAACTAGCTGACCTGCCAAACATCACAGGCTTAGTGGCAAACATGTCACACACGTGCTTAAACAGTACTATTCTCGTGTTTGAATCGCTACATCTCCTGATGGTTGAGGTATTTTATTCGATTTCATTTGGTTTTATAAATTGATTTGAATAGAAATGCATTATAGGCTATGTGATATTCAGATGTCATTTCAAATGTTTGTAATGTTTTTATCTCACGATTTCTAGTGTTTATTTCAAAATATGGAGTATGTCTCGGGACAAAAAACTCTTGTAATGTGCGTAAAGACAATTTGAGACTAGCTGGTTGGGACATTCATACGAAAACACGCAGAAATGCTCCAATGTTTTTCAAATGTTTGAAGAGAGAGTTCTTGTGTTTGTATTTGTTTGTATAAATAATAAAACGTGATTAGACATTTCATTAATGTGGAAAACTCTCAATTATAGCTTGAGAGACAAGGTGACAGGCAATCCATTTGTAAAAAGTAAACACATTTGAAAAAGGTTGGAAGACCAAACAAAGTAGTTTCGCTTTCACAATGAAAAAGCGTCACACACCGTGGCCTTGAGTGAGCAGAGGCGGGAGGACTTGAGAACGGCGCGGCCGGCGGATTCGATGAAGGAGCATCCAGAGGGCTTGCGGCAACCACATGTGACGACCCCGGGCTGGACTCCACTTCGTCCACGGTGAAAGCCGATCCGGCGATCCACAGTGAAGTTGATGTATTTCCTCAGCGACCAGCACGGATCAGCTCCAGGCATGACGAAGCGGATATCGTCCTCTTTTGGAAGACCAACCAAAATAGTTTCACTTTAACAAAGAAACACAGCGTCTCCACGACATGGCGGCGGCAACAACAATACTACAGCGAGAATAAAAGTTACGCCTTCTTTCTTTGCGTGAACATTTGGGCGCGTTATGCAAATCTTCCCACATAGTGATGTAGATATGTGGGGGCGTGTTAGAACGAGGCGCTTTAGGTAGGCGTGGCTGACTCTTAACTTTTATAAAGAATATCTCTTTGGATTTGAGACTTTAGTGTTTGCAACTTTACAGATCTTCTTTATGCACCAAGAGCTTGTAACACTCCAAAGAGAAAGGAAAAATTGAAATCGCATCATATGACCCCTTTAAGTACTGACCAGAATTTACCTGTTTTGATGAATGAGGTTGTAAAATATGAGGCGGGACTAACACACTTAGCTTGGGTTACCAAATTAGCCTACTATTACTATTACCAGGTCATTTTATTCTCTAGATCAAGTTTTTTTAAGTGAACACGAGGTCATTTCTCCGGGTTCTGTGGTGATTTGCATGCTACAGGCAGCATGGATGAGTAACGTGGAAGTCTGTCGCAAACCAGGAAGCCGCTTTATTGTCTCTGAAGAACATCGAAGACTAATCTGTCGATGGCGCACACTTACATTTTTCGCTCACTGTAAGGAGTTTTAATGTTAAAAAGTCATGCGAATTTGGCGGTTCACGTGTTTTTCACTCCTTTTTGGGTTTTTGCTGTCGTCGGTCCCGGAGCTCACAGGTAACAGCCAGACCCACCCAGCCTAACCTGCAACACTTACCTTACCTACAGCTATTAACTTACTCTCTCGAGTTTAAACTTGACCTCTTCTCAAATGTGAATGGAAATCAAAATCGAGTCGACCTGACTATTAGGTTACATCTCTTTTAAGGGTTTGATCAGGTTCAAATGGTTCAGTGTGGTTTGATGTTTGCTCAGCTAGTATTTTGGGAATTTTAAAAAAAGTGCTTTTTTCACTTTAGAAATGAATTGTGGCATAGCTAAAATACACCGGTTATCAATGTGTTTGATTAATCTACAGGATCATCTCTTGAGATAACAAAACAATTTTTTATATATATTGACAAATTCAAATTTCACTGGATGTTTCAATCACTTTTCATTAAAAAGCATTCAACACATTTTAACTGTGCTATTTTTGGGGTGCACATCTAAACTGCATTCTTTTTTTGTGTTTTTATGAATAATTTTATCATTTTGTCACTCACTATATTATGTGAAAAGAGCTAAAGGTTACAGTGGTTAAGGTTAAAGTGTCTAAAAATGTATTTTTTCTTTATGTAGTCATATACATTTTAATACAAAATCTTGATGTTTATTTAATAAAAGTCTCTGCATCATTTCAGGCAGTGCAGAGCTCAAAATTGCTGTTGAATTTGGCACAACCATACGCATTAATACCAGTGCCGGCAAAACCCCACAGTGCAAAGTTTGTATCAGACCGAACACACAACAGTTGTGCCAGTCGTCTGTGGTCCTCAGAAGTGACACGCTTTTGGATTTCAGCTGCTCACAGCCAGAGAATGTGTTCACCGTGCAGATCATCAGCGATAATGGTGAGAGATGTCAGATAAAAAAAACGAATAATACTTTTTATTCTTTACATTTTCATTTAGACGTTCGGTAACTCTTTACAATAAGGTGAATGAACAATACATTTATTACAGTTTTTTATTCATATTTGTTAATGTTAGTTAATGAAAATACAGTTGTTCATTGTTAGTTCATGTTCATTCACAGTGCATTAACTAATGTTAACAAGCACAACATTTGATTTTAATAATGCATTAGTAAATGAGGAAATGAACATTAACTACAATTAATAAATGCTGTAGTTAATCAATTTAGTTCATGTTAACTAATGAACCTTATTGTAAAGTGTTACCACTGGTCATCAAGACATAAATCTTTCTCTTATTTATATATATATATATATATATATATATATATATATAAGCCTGTTAAATGCATAAAAAGTATAACTGTAACTGTACACAACTTCTGTTTAAATTCACAGTACTTTTTAACCATCTTAACATCTGCATTAAGACAACCTATTAACCCTCTGGTGCTCCTAGCATGGTGGGCAAAAATGACCAAATTATTATTTAATTATATTATTATATAATTATTACAAATATTTTTGTTTCAGTTAAATTATTGTACTATTTTGTAGTTTGATAATGCTTTGTTTTTATTTCAATTTTTTTGTATTCTTTGAATTTTTTTGTATTTTTTTATGTTACATTAATGTTACTAAATTATATTTATGCAGTCCATTTATTGACTGTTAACCACTTTTTGAGCATAGGCCTGAAAATTTAATTTCCAACTTAAACCGTCATAAATCTTGAATGCTTTGGAACACAGACTTTTGGTGTATTTTCAAATAAGACACTTGGTAGATTATTGCTAAATATAAAATAATAATAAAAAAAAAAAAGTGAGGTTGATATCACAAAAAAAAACAAAAAGCTTTCAGTAAGATTTTGTTTAGATGCAGTACCAAACGTTTCCACTAGAGAAAATTGGTTTCTCATTCGTTTCCAGTGCAATCATTATTGACAGTTACAAGAGTATCATTTAACCTTTTCAAGTCTATTATTTTGTGTGTGTGTGTGTGTGTGTGTTCACATAGCAAGTGTCAATACCTTCACAAAGGTTCGTACCATTCCGGTGAAGTAAAAATTTAAAAAAAAAACGTCAGATTTTTTCAGTCGAAAATTACCGAAGAGCACCAGATTACTAAAATGACTACAAAATTACAGCTTGCAGATGTGCACTTGTTGTGAGCTTAATAAATCTACTGTAGTCTTTCTCTGACATGCACATTTGTTCCACAGTGATATATAACATTGAACCCAAAGAACACAAGGCCTTGCAAAAGTTCAATCGCACCTTCATCTGGAATCTGAAGCCACCAGCTACAAAGAGCTTACATTTAAATTTCAGTAGTACTGGTTTACTGCAGATTCAGCCCACAGACAGCTGCCCAGACAAACACGTTTACATGCTCGCAGTGGAGAATGTCAGCATTGGAAGGTTTTGTCAGAATGGAACTATTAGGCAAGTCGATGTGCGTAATGCTGGAAAACTGTCTTTGGAAGTGTCTGGAGGTCGAGCTCTGGACAAGAAGTTTATCGGTGTGTCACTGGGACGTCTCATTAACTGTAAGTGCAATTGTAAACGTATATATTTAAGCACAAATTGTCTAAACAAAGTCGGCATATGTGAAATGTTTTATTTTACAGCACTGGCTAATTTCCATGTTGTGCTCCCAGAGAAGAGTTCAACCCAGGATTTCTTTGCCCCAAACGCTTTTCCTGAAAATACAGAGACAATGTGGTATTTTACCGTTCCCCAAACATACTACACTGATGTGCACATTCTGAGCTACACTGTTCCAACATGCCTCCAACCTGAAAACATCCCTACAATGAAGTACACTTGGCAGGGCAAAGAGCCTCTGGTGAAACTGATGAATGTAAGCCAGCCGTCGGTGGAGCCTGGAAACTTTAACCTCTCCATAAAGAACTGCAAAATGTCTGGGCCACAGCCTCCGTCACAAGGCCTAATGGTGCACTTCCAGATCTCTGCCATCAAGAGAAGCAAGGGTAGGTATCACAAATTATTTATTTTCATAATTAGAATTGTGTATGCCTATTTATGTATATTTTTATAGTAATCATATTAGGTTATTCCGTGTCAACTCAACCAGAGGCCTCTGGCTAAGATTGTTTATTTGTTTGTTTGATTGGTGGAGAAAGAAACTACTGTACATAAATGAAGATGAGAAGCCAAAATACTAAACACTATGGATGCATATTTACTGAGTAATCCACTATTTTTAAAAAGAGGTCAAAGTGACAGTGCTTAACCACTGATTTCTAGTCGTGTCCTCTTTTGGAAGACCAAACAAAGTAGTTTCGCTTTCACAATGAATCACACAGTGCCTTCACGTCATGGCGGCGGCAGCAACAACACTACAGCGAGAATAAAAGTTACGCCTTCTTTCTTTGCGTGAACATTTGGACGGCGTTATGCAAATCTTCCCACATCGTGATGTAGACATGTGGGGGCGTGTTAGAAGGAGCCGTTTTAGGTAGGTGTGGTTGACTCTTAACTTTTATAAAGAATATCTCTTTGGATTTGAGACTTTAGTCTTTGCAACTTTACAGATCTTCTTTATGCACCAAGAGCTTGTAACACTCCAAAGAGAAAGGAAACATTGAAATCGCATCATATGACCCCTTTAACCAGAGTTTCCGAGCTAAAAATATTATAATTTTTTCAATTTATTTATTTATTTATTGTGGAATAAAATCTACATAAATGAAGAAGAAAAGCCAAAATACTAAATGCTATGGATGCGTGTTTACTGAATAATCCAATAATTTGTAGAGCGAGTTTTCAAGTGAGATTTGGAGCTACAGGGGGGAGAAAAATAATGGAAAAAAATGGCAGCATTATTATTTTATTTTTACACAGAGATTGGTTGGTCTGTTAGTAAAACCAGTTCAATCCATGTTGCATTATATGCCAATAGTGACAGTTCAAAAATGGGAAAAAGCACTTTTCGTATTTTTCCTCCAAAGTTTGCATGCCTGCAAAACAAGAAGTATTAAATATATCTCAATATCCTTTTAGATTCTTGCTTTTAACAAACATTTCTTTTAGTATCTTCATTTTTAAGACCCTTATATGTTTCAGTTCCATATATATTAGAGCTTAATGTGGCTCCATACTGAGTGCCACATCTGAATATATACTGTATATATATATATATATATATATATATATATATAAAAGTTTGCGTGCCTGTATCTCAAGAAGTATTAAATATATCTCAATATACTTTTAGATTCTCGTCTTAAACTTAATTTTTGATTAGTCCATTTTTTAAGGAGCTATGTGGTTCAATCTCAGAGATATTGTGGCTCTCGATGCGACTCCATGTGCACATTTTTGAATTTGTCCCATTGTTAGTGGTCAAAAACCCTGATTTCATTCACATAGATTGTGTAAACAGTGTAACCACCAGCTTGATTCTCTTTACTGTCGTTCTCTAACACTGGGTTTAGAAGGGTGAATCTCAAGATTTGCTGCATTTGCATGTGACTATTTTCATGACACATTTTTATTATTTTTGATTGCTTGTTTTATCTTTATTGATCTACTTTGATTACACAAGGCCTGACTTTGATTGAGCCATCTGTTGTGTCATTATGGAAAACCCAAGCAAGCAGTTCCAGGCAATGACTCATGAATACAGGATATGAGAAGAGAGCTTTTTTTTTCTTTCTTTTTTTCAGTGGATCGTGAAGAGGCTCAGGTTTCACTGGAGGTGCTTTTTAAGCTACTTCAGTTAGCCTTGCTTTTTAACTCGTTTAATCAGGGTGGGGAAGGATGAAATGTAGAGCAGCAGTCATTGATTCAGTGTTGAATGAACACTCATTTCAGACAAACATTAAATTAAATGAACTTACTTTCAGTGATATTCTATGGATTTTTGCTTTATTTACATTTTCAATTTCATCCATTGTCTAAATATTTTTTATCATGTCAAAGTAACATTTCAACGTTACAATTATAACAAGAGTCACGTTAAATTTATCCAGATCAAACATTTTTAAAGCCGTTATGCCCTTATGCATGGTGAACTTAATTTGTGTAAAATCATGCACGAAAGATTCACACAGAAGGAAACGTTTTTCTAATGTGTTGAATGAGTAGATAAATTGACTAACATATTTGACAAAGTAACTTCGGTATTGTGGTACAAATTGAAATGTTCAACTTGCTCATTACTTCCAAAAAAGTAATTGCTATTGCAAAACACATATGACTTGATTATGTTTACATGAACACCAGAAAACCGCTTATTTTAAAAAAGCTGTTTATCACATGAAAGCGACATTCATGTTTACATGCGCTGTGTTAGCAGCATATTCTTCATTTATAACCCGGGTAAAGATGCAGTGCCATAACTTTAGACATCCCATGCACATGCACACTCTTCAAAAACCTGTAAGAACACCACTTATGCATTTATGCATTCCAACTGCTTTCTCCTACTCCCTTAAATGGCGTAAATTTAACATGTCACTTTACATACTGAAATAATGCATGTGAAATATTGCATAATATACCATTATTTACACATATGTAAAACGTGATAGCGCCCCCCTGGTGGCTGATTTCTTTCAAACTTCTCACAGGCTTTTGGGGCCACGAGTCCACCTTCTAAGAGCTGCTGAATGTTGATTGGCTGATGGCAGGCATGTTTTTATGTTAGTGTCCTTATAGACAATGATGGCACCTTGGACAAAGACACTGCATGCCAATTGTCAAGACAATTGGACCAATGGTTGCGTAGTTAGAGCCATTGTCATGTTTTGTTCCCCTGTTATAGTGTCACCTAGTAGCCAATACCTCATTCATTCATTCACACAGCAAAAATGCTTTTCATACTGAGTATTTTTGTCTTATTTCAAGTACAAATATCTTAAAATTCTTAATCAAGATGCATTTCTATATAAGAAAAATTATAAGTTATGTAGACTTGTTTCCTGGGGGGGGAATATTAACTGCATTTTGCCTAAAACAAGTAAAATGATCTGCCATGGGGTAAGAAAAATAATCTTAGGGCCATTCTACAGAATTGGTCCAAAGTTAGAGTTGGAAACAATGTATTTTTCCAAAAAATTGGTATGTATGCAAATTGTATAATATCCAAGGTACACATTTCTAGTAATTGCGCAGGTAATTCTCATATGCATACTATTATTTTGAATCCAATTTTTCTTTGTAAAAGGCAAAAAGTTGCTCATACTGATTTCAAAGTTAAGGATTCATTAGTTTAAATAAGCATTGAACCAAAAACTATCATACCATCTTAGTTGATAATTCAGTATACTTTATTTTTGACAAAACATCCCATGTTTCGGTAGTGACTGCACATTTTCGGTACAGTAATGCTTTGGTAGCGGCCACATCACATTACAGGATTTTAACCTGCATACCAAAACATACTAAAATACAAAACAATTGCATAACTGTACCAAAATTGTTTATTTCCCCCAAATATGAGGATTATGTGTTCCCTTTTGTCACTACCGAAACAATGATGACATGTTTCGTTACCAAATGTTTCGTTAGTGACAATTTTAGATACTTTTGAATCTCAAAGATGCTAATCAGCACATGGTTAGCTAGCACAGTTTTGAACAGTTGTACAAAATTAAATATGGAATAACTCCCAAAAAAAGTGTGCTTAATTGCAGAAAAAAGGTGTTCGGTAGTGACGTTCCTTAGAGTTACACAGACTTTTGCACACATTTATCTCAAAATGATGGGGCCAATCAACTCACCCTGTAGCTATGAGAGAGAGGGACACATAAATATTTCCTGATCATAAATGTAGGGGTGTAGTTTATTTCAGTCTCAGCCAATGGACTAAAACATAGACTGTTTCGGTAGTGACATGAAAATGCAGTACACTTTTTTTTTTTTTTTTTACATACGTTTTCCTAATTTACAAAGAAAATGTAAAATAAATATTTTTTTGAACTGCACTTTGTAAAAGAACCTAAAAAATATATTTTTAAAAACAAAAATTTAAAATAATACAAAAATTATTTCAATATAATTTTCCTAAGTTGAAATTTAGGGGTTAGGGTTCGGGACAGCCACCTCCTAATTGAAAGTACCCAATAAATTATGATTATATATTTTATATATATTAAGCTTACTAATATTTTAAATGTTATTGTGGGTAGATAATAGAAGGATCTTAGTAAACATCTAAGATTTGAATACTTAAATGCTTTTTAAATATGGAGCTTAAAATGTGACAAAACTATTTGAATTGTCAAATTCACTTTTGTTAAATGACACTTGTCAATAATTCAAATTTACACAATTCAAATAGTTTTGTCATATTTTAAGCTCCATATTTAAATGTGTTTTTTTGAGTTGTGGGACAGCAGTTTGCACCAATACTGTAGAATGGCCCCTTAATGTAAACAAGATTAGATCTCTTACCCCATTGTCAGATAATTTGCTAAATAAGAAAAATGCGGGGTTTTTGCCTGTGGGATACCATGAAAATGAATATTAGTCCAATAAATTACGGTACTGCCAATTTTCACCTCTGATATTATAACAGTGATTAAGAATTAAACTTACGTATTGACTCGGAAGTATGCAGACCTCTTTTTTTTGTCAAGTGCTGTTGCCATGGTGAATCGTAATTTCAAAGCGCCATTGATATAGTCGTGGTGCACGCGCTTAACTTAGAGTCAGCATAATCAGAGTTAATTGAACTAACTCAAATCAGCTGTTCTGAAACCGAAAACTAAAGAGTTTCCTATCTCAGTACACATTTCTAGTAATTGCGCAGGTAATTCTCATATGCATACTATTATTTTGAATCCAATTTTTCTTTGTAAAAGGCAAAAAGTTGCTCATACTGATTTCAAAGTTAAGGATTCATTAGTTTAAATAAGCATTGAACCAAAAACTATCATACCATCTTAGTTGATAATTCAGTATACTTTATTTTTGACAAAACATCCCATGTTTCGGTAGTGACTGCACATTTTCGGTACAGTAATGCTTTGGTAGCGGCCACATCACATTACAGGATTTTAACCTGCATACCAAAACATACTAAAATACAAAACAATTGCATAACTGTACCAAAATTGTTTATTTCCCCCAAATATGAGGATTATGTGTTCCCTTTTGTCACTACCGAAACAATGATGACATGTTTCGTTACCAAATGTTTCGTTAGTGACAATTTTAGATACTTTTGAATCTCAAAGATGCTAATCAGCACATGGTTAGCTAGCACAGTTTTGAACAGTTGTACAAAATTAAATATGGAATAACTCCCAAAAAAAGTGTGCTTAATTGCAGAAAAAAGGTGTTCGGTAGTGACGTTCCTTAGAGTTACACAGACTTTTGCACACATTTATCTCAAAATGATGGGGCCAATCAACTCACCCTGTAGCTATGAGAGAGAGGGACACATAAATATTTCCTGATCATAAATGTAGGGGTGTAGTTTATTTCAGTCTCAGCCAATGGACTAAAACATAGACTGTTTCGGTAGTGACATGAAAATGCAGTACACTTTTTTTTTTTTTACATACGTTTTCCTAATTTACAAAGAAAATGTAAAATAAATATTTTTTTGAACTGCACTTTGTAAAAGAACCTAAAAAATATATTTTTAAAAACAAAAATTTAAAATAATACAAAAATTATTTCAATATAATTTTCCTAAGTTGAAATTTAGGGGTTAGGGTTCGGGACAGCCACCTCCTAATTGAAAGTACCCAATAAATTATGATTATATATTTTATATATATTAAGCTTACTAATATTTTAAATGTTATTGTGGGTAGATAATAGAAGGATCTTAGTAAACATCTAAGATTTGAATACTTAAATGCTTTTTAAATATGGAGCTTAAAATGTGACAAAACTATTTGAATTGTCAAATTCACTTTTGTTAAATGACACTTGTCAATAATTCAAATTTACACAATTCAAATAGTTTTGTCATATTTTAAGCTCCATATTTAAATGTGTTTTTTTGAGTTGTGGGACAGCAGTTTGCACCAATACTTTTTTTTTTTTTTTTTTTACATACGTTTTCCTAATTTACAAAGAAAATGTAAAATAAATATTTTTTTGAACTGCACTTTGTAAAAGAACCAAAAAAATATATTTTTAAAAACAAAAATTTAAAATAATACAAAAATTATTTCAATATAATTTTCCTAAGTTGAAATTTAGGGGTTAGGGTTCGGGACAGCCACCTCCTAATTGAAAGTACCCAATAAATTATGATTATATATTTTATATATATTAAGCTTACTAATATTTTAAATGTTATTGTGGGTAGATAATAGAAGGATCTTAGTAAACATCTAAGATTTGAATACTTAAATGCTTTTTAAATATGGAGCTTAAAATGTGACAAAACTATTTGAATTGTCAAATTCACTTTTGTTAAATGACACTTGTCAATAATTCAAATTTACACAATTCAAATAGTTTTGTCATATTTTAAGCTCCATATTTAAATGTGTTTTTTTGAGTTGTGGGACAGCAGTTTGCACCAATACTGTAGAATGGCCCCTTAATGTAAACAAGATTAGATCTCTTACCCCATTGTCAGATAATTTGCTAAATAAGAAAAATGCGGGGTTTTTGCCTGTGGGATACCATGAAAATGAATATTAGTCCAATAAATTACGGTACTGCCAATTTTCACCTCTGATATTATAACAGTGATTAAGAATTAAACTTACGTATTGACTCGGAAGTATGCAGACCTCTTTTTTTTGTCAAGTGCTGTTGCCATGGTGAATCGTAATTTCAAAGCGCCATTGATATAGTCGTGGTGCACGCGCTTAACTTAGAGTCAGCATAATCAGAGTTAATTGAACTAACTCAAATCAGCTGTTCTGAAACCGAAAACTAAAGAGTTTCCTATCTCAGGGTAAGTCAACTCAAGAGTTCAAGTTTCAACTCAACGGTTTGTTGAAACTCCTTATTGAAGCGGGCCCCAGATCGTGCCAAAATCTGGCTAAAATCGTGTAGTCTGAACCAGGCTTAAGCCAATGCACGTGTACCAAGACTGTTGAAAATATCTCATTCCGTTCAAGAGTTATAGCAATTTATTTATTAATACATTTTTCCCACTTCAAACATTTTGGATTGAAGTTGCAGTGAAAGTCTCCAGATAATCTTTCTACACTGGTTTGTTGGGGAACTAGGCTTCACACTTAAATCCCTATCAAGTATTGTATCATAATTGATTTTTAACAAAACATCTTAATATTACACAGGAAAAAGAAGAGGAATAAGACTCCCCCAGTGTCCGTCTACAATCCCGGTGAGCATGCTTTCCTTCCAGGCCTGCATGGCATCCCCAAAGCACAGGAGGAGGAGGAGGATCCTCACACTTACGTGTACATCGATGAAACTCTAGTATATAGCCATCTGCTTAACTATGATGCTGAAAAAGAAGAATATAAAGAAGCCACTACAGATGAGAGTGATCCACCTCTGAGTGCCCCAGCTTTACCAGTCAGAAACGCTGAAAACCTCGTCACTAAAAGCAACGCCTTGCTTGACAATGAGCTCTGTGGTTACGTTCAGGGACAATCAACTACATCTGGCTCACCGAAGACTTCCGAAGAGGAAGGGAACTATGAAACCAGACTGTGTGTGTGAGGGGAAAAAGTCCTGATGAAATCGAATTTTCTACTGTAAACGAACGTTTTGTTTAGGTGTCCATCTAAGATGTTTTTATATTTAGTGATTTTGTGTGTGAACAGGCTGCTCGCTTTAAAGATGGTATGTTTTTGATATTAAAATGTCTGTTTATTTATTAACAACTTGAAAAGTTAAGAGATGGATTCTCTAGAAAAAGATGGAAATATGATTGAAAACGGTTTGTGATCAGGCCATGTTCTGGGGGTTTTGTGGCAGACCTTGGAAATCCGTCTCCGACAGCAAAATCCAGCCAAAAATGATGTAGTGTGAGCTTGCCTTAAGTGTCAAGATCAACTGATGGAAGATTCCGGGGGCCTGTACCATGAAGCCGGATTAGCTGGCTAGCTAGGTAAGTTTCAGTTTAGTTTGCACCAATCCTAGGTTTTGGGTACCGTGAAAGTGGCTTGGCTTTTAGCGGCGTTCATTGCCTTAGTAACTTACTCTCCACCTGCTCCAGGGAAGGTTTGTTCTGTGTAAGAGATCTCAAACAGATCTCAAACTTCGAATCTCACGAGGAGTGAATCACACTTGCTCTGTGTTTCAAGGCATGTGATTGGCTGTTTGCCAGTGATGTTACACATTCATGTGCACGCGCTCCACAAACTCAGGATCAAAGCCTGAGTTGACAAAGAAAGTTGATGATCAGCATCATGGTACCAACAAAGCCAGATTGGAGTGGTTTGGTTTTGTCAACTCTAAACTAATCTTGTAACTCTGAATTTGTTCAACTACCATCATGGTACAGCCCCCAGCTCTATCTCAGGGGGAAATTTAAATATTTTACGATGTGGCGATTTTGCATAGGGAAAAATGTAAGCATAAAGGTCTACCCCTAAACCTTACTGTCAGTGGGACATCAGCAGATCGTATGAATGAGACTGTCCTCATCGGATTGGTTGAATTATACAGGATTTTTTTTTTCCGAATACTATGATTTCAGACTTACTACTCTTTTGGTGTACTGCTTTTTGTATACTCTATAGTAGGGAAGTCTTCGATTTTGGACGCAGCGAATATGTAAGTTTTGCTACTAAAGCTGGCTTATTCAAAACAACAACTAAGACATAGCTTGAATCTTGGAAGTTGCTGTGTTCCCCACCGTCAACGATGGATATGTGCACCATTAACATGCGACACAATGACACGGACCATTTCACTGGTTAAAATTGTGGATTTTTTCTGAATTTAAACATTGGCAGTATTTGGGATAATGTAAGCACACAAGTCAACAAAATATGTTGTGCTAGTGATTTGTGGATATTTTAATACAAAAATCTTACATGGTGTACCTTTAACTGAACTTTTTATTACACATTCTACTGAAAACATCTGTCGAATCCATCATTCAGCATGGTGCTCTACAAGTGGATTAGACAATGTTGAACTGGCAGACAGACGCCTTTTCTCCACGGCAGTCCTCGTCGAACCACTTCCCGTTGGCTGTGCTGGACAGGAGAGCACAGTTCTGGCCGCGGCCTCCATCGGGCTGATGGGTTATCTCTGATTCCCAGTTCTTGAAGCGTATCGGTGAGCCCGTCTGGTCAGTCCACTCGCCCTCTTTTAATATGTCATTCACACCCAACCAGATGTGCCCTTCTGGCCCGACGGTCTGCCGCACATAATCATACAGCTGGTCGTTCTCATCTCCTGAAAGAGGGCTGCTGAGCGTTCCTCCTTTAGCAATGCAGTCATCGTTTGCGGCGTGAAAGCTCTTCTTCGTCGTGTCCGCGAGAAAACACTTTCCTGGGATCTTGATGCCTTTTAGGCAAACTGAAGAGGATAGAAAAGTAATAAGTTTAGGATGTGTGCTTCCTGGTCATTACCCTGAACGGCTCTGATGGACACGCTCTTTATGTTATGAGCTGTGACTAACACACAACAGACAACACTGAATTGCACACACCTCATGTCACATAGAGAAGAGCGAATGTTTTCCAGGAGCAAGTACATCAAAAACAAATTCCTCTGCAGACATCACCCTTGTGAAAAAGAAGTGCACTTAACTGGACTGAATGTGCACTTGTGGTGTACTTCAAAACTTAACAGTATATATTTTTAAAAAAACTGTACTTGCAGACTTTTAATAATGTAAAATTAACAGATTTCAAGTATAAAATGCATATATATATATATATATATATATATATATACTTAAAGGACAAAAAAATATAAATAGCAAACTATAAGTATGAAATTAAGCTAGCTGTATAACAACTATAAAACCTAGTAGTTTACTGAGAGTATACTTCAAAGTTTGCTAGAAAACTAACAGTAACGCTAACCTATAAGTTCACGTCTAGTAGAATTCACAGTATAATTGCAATACAAAGGAAACCTTGAGATGTTCTGAAAAAGTGAGCCAATTTAGTCCCAAGAACGATTGAAATAGTACACTTACAAGTGCAGTATACTATTACACTGATTTTAGCATACTTACTACCCAAATTATACTTGGAAAATATACTTGAGCTTTACTTAAAGGGTTAGTTCACCCAAAAAAAAAAAAAACTGTACTTGCAGACTTTTAATAATGTAAAATTAACAGATTTCAAGTATAAAATGCATATATATATATATATATATATATATATATATATATACTTAAAGGACAAAAAAATATAAATAGCAAACTATAAGTATGAAATTAAGCTAGCTGTATAACAACTATAAAACCTAGTAGTTTACTGAGAGTATACTTCAAAGTTTGCTAGAAAACTAACAGTAACCCTAACCTATAAGTTCACGTCTAGTAGAATTCACAGTATAATTGCAATACAAAGGAAACCTTGAGATGTTCTGAAAAAGTGAGCCAATTTAGTCCCAAGAACGATTGAAATAGTACACTTACAAGTGCAGTATACTATTACACTGATTTTAGCATACTTACTACCCAAATTATACTTGGAAAATATACTTGAGCTTTACTTAAAGGGTTAGTTCACCCAAAAATGAAAATTAGGCTGCGTTTTACTCACCCCCGAGGCATCCTAGGTGTATATGACTTTCTTCTTTCAGACGAATCCAGTTGGAGTTATATAAAAAAATTGTCTTTGATCTTTCAAGCTGTCTCATGGCACTCAGCGGGTGTTTCATTGCATCAGTCCAAAAGAAGTTAAATAAAAATCGGCCATCCATAAAAAAAAAGTGTCTCACCTCATGGCACTCAGCGGGTGTTTCATTGCTTCAGTCCAAAAGAAGTTAAATAAAAATCGACATCTTACATCATCCGCCCGGAGCTGCTTTTGTGTACAACTGTTGGCGCAAGCTACATTACAGTGATTATTACGTTTTGAATATGGATATTTTTCTTATTCGCTACAGGAGGCCTTTGTTCAACCCCTGAAGCCGTGCGAGACACTTTTTTTTGTTTTTTTTGTTTGGATGGGCGTTTTTTATTTAACTTCTTTTGGACTGATGCGTGCAACACCCACTGAGTGGCATTAAACCGCTTGAAAGATCAAAGACAATTTTTAATATAACTCCGACTGGATTCGTCTGAAAGAAGAAAGTCATATACACCTAGGATGCCTCGGGGGTGAGTAAAACACAGCCTAATTTTCATTTTTGGGTGAACTAACCCTTTAATTGTACTTAAATTGAAGTAAAATTGAAATATGCCTCATGTTGTTGTGTGTCTGCATGTCAATCACTGAACATACACTGCTGCTACATCATTAAAATTTTTACAATATACCACGAATATTTAATTAGAGTTGATGTTTCACTAGCAAGTTAAAGGACTTCACTTAAAGTTCAAGGACATGCTTGACTTCTTCAATTTTGAAGGGTTTATTGTTATTACTAAAAACAAATCAATAATTTTATTGTAAAAACAATCATTTAAAAATGAGCATGTGTAACTTATGACCGCTAGTGTACATATTTCAATGTCTTTCCAGATGCAGCTTTACGCAGTACCTGTTTGTAAAGCCTGTTGTTCCTTGAGCAGATTCAGTTCCTGCACAATCTGCTCAATCTGTTTCTTCAGCTCCTCGATAGCAGCACTGTTCGACTCTTCATTACCAGCAAACAAGCACAGCATTATACATTATACACAAACAAGGTCCATTTAAATTTACAATATGCAATACATTTCTAAATTAGAATCATTTAAAAACACTAAAAATTGAAAAATGAGCTAATTTTGTAAAATGTTTATTTTGTAAAAACTAATTAATGCAAACTACCAATTGCATAAAAACACACAAACAACAAAATGTGGGTATGGAAATGGTTTATGCTGTGTAGAAATTTTGTAGCTAGACAGTTAACAAATGATTTTACCTTTTTTGCCATTCTTTCTCTTTGTGGAGCTCTGCTCCGGGCTGCAGCGCACCAGACAAATCACACAGAAAAGAAACTTCACGGCTTTGAAATCCATCTTCCTCACTGAACGTGAAGCTGGAAGCGTTTGAGACACGAAGCACACTGACGTGTTGAGCTGAAGAGAACCTGCCCATCATCAGCTGCGTAACAGATGATTCTCATTTACCAGCGCCTTAAACACAGCAGCACACCCTTTTCTGGCCTTCTGGGCTACATTATTATTGTTATTTATTATTATTACTACTACAGTAGAAGTAGTATTACCTTGTTTTGCATTGCATAATTTCAATAATTGTTAAATGAGGGTATCAGTGCTTCTTATTTAAGTTATTGATCATTAGTAATAATAATAATAATAATATGTTGTATTTATTACTGTGTTATTGTTTTACTCTGCACTGTTGCACGGGTTTTTATTTTATTTTGAGTTTATAATTTTGTATTACATCAGTGCCTGAACTGGGTGGAGTGTCAGTATCTGTCCATTTTCCACAGACACTTGGCAAGCAGAGAATAATAAATGACAAACATGGGTGGATTTTATGGGTGTTGACTAAAAGCACATGCAGCAGTTATGTATGACATGAACTTTGTTCTCTGTTCATGAGTATTTTTCATAAATGTCAGCTTGA